GCCCTAGGCCCTGGGAAATCTCTTTTTCTGGACGCCCGGAAATAACCTCAGATGTTTTGGGCGATCAATATTTCTTTATTTCTCTCTTTTTTTTTTAATTGTCAATAAACAGATAAGCCTATATAAAACATTGGAAACACATAAATTATGAAATAAAATATATATTGTAACAATATCAAAAACTGGAATTGGTAATAAATAATGCCTGGTTCTCACGAGAGCCCTAGTATCCGGATCGGGAGCTAACCGTTAGCGATAACCGTTAGCACCTGCGTGAGAACGCCCGATCGGTTAGCGCTAACCGTTAGCAGTATCCGGATACCGCTAACGGTTAGCAATCTCTATCGGTTAGCAAGTTGAGCGTGTTTCTATCATCAACCAATCACACGTATGCCTACGCGTTTACAATTTCCAGTTTCTTATTGGCCAGTGATTCGATCATCATATTTTTGGTATCCGGACCGGGATTTTTTAGGATGAGCGCACGGCATCCGGATCCTGCTAACCGTTATCAGCCGTGTGAGAACATAGCCTTTGTCTTGATAATAGATTTCTGAAGTAGTTTATTTATTGATGAAAGCTGCATTCATGTCGGATCCAAGCCGAAATTCGGACCGTGTTTCCGCGAAGCGCAGACGCCAACGTTCCTATTTTTACACACTGAATCGATTTTCCGATCGTAAGGCTTTCCGATCTGAAAATAATCGGATTCGATTAAATGCACATTAAGACAGACATCATGTTCAGAATTGTAATGATATTACCATAAACAAAGCACGTATAGGTTGTTTGTTGCTAGTTGCGCTACATAAAAGGAGCATCCCTTTATCACGTCTCAGTCGGCACAGAGTTACTTGACTGAATAAATAGTTCTCTCCATTGCAATAAAAATGATAGCTACATTAATAATTCCCATCATGGTCGTCAATTTGGCTGCCGGTTATACAAAATGCGACATCAAAGACGTACAAACGACCGCCACAGCTCACTTTTACGCACGTAAAAATACTACTATGGAGAATGAAAACGAGACAATCCATGGAGTCTCAAGATACACATGCATGCAGACATGTCGTAAAAATAAGTCCTGTTTGGCATTCTCCTATGCAGACAATATATCTTTGTGCAATCTGTATGATTATGACAGCAAGTCAGCCGACATGTTACTCAAACATGCTCCAGGTGTATGGTTTTACGATATGCAAAATAATGCTGAAAACTCTGTACAGGTAAGAGCTACGTATTTAAAGTCTATCTTTACCTAGACATTGCAAATGCAAATATATTATTTTCAATCACAAATCCTTCAAAACAATAACAAATTTCACAATGAAGTGATTAGTGTACATGATATGTATTACCACGAAATAAATACTGTGTTAAGGAAGATACATTCGATATTCGAAGTATCCACGGCTTTATATTCTATTTCATTACACATCCCAACAGCGGGTCTACCAATAACTGAATAGAATTCAATAAAATATTATTTATAATTTTAAAATACATTTTATTATACGAATCCAGAAAAGAGAATTATGAAAAGCCACCAGAAATAAACAAAGTTACAGGAAAAACGTAAAGGAATAAATAAAATATATTAAATACGTTATAGGTCTATTTATGCCTAACATACGCTCAAAATTGCTAAATGAGTTTTAATATATTGAAAGTAGCACCAAGTTCAAGATTAAGAAGATAATAATTTTGGCAACCTAACAAAAAAAACATTTTTGTAACATTCCTCCAAAGTAAACATAAAATAATGATGAGACAGAATTACGACATCGACAAATTTTTTCATAAACTAAAGAAGATAGAAAAAAGATTACCCCCCCCCCCCCCCCCCCCCAAAAAAAACCAAAAAAAAAAAAAA